AAATCAGAAGAAAATTGTTTTCATAATCAGAGAAGAAGATGGAGAAGTTGGCAGGGAAGAAAAGGAATGGTGAGATTCCTTTAGTCAATACCACATTTCTTTCTTTCCAAAGTCTCTTTCCAGATAAAAACCTGCAACTGCTATAATGTTAGAATGTATTATATTGTATATTATGACTAATTTTATTTCACTGTCATCTGAAAAAAAATATTCCAATGAATTTGAGAGATGATGATCAGGATATACTACTCGTTACAATAAATACCTTAAATTAAATTTTCCATGTTTTTAATGAAAGCATGGAAAGATTATTAAACAGCGTATATAATGGATGTTTTTACAAATGCTAAGCAGTATTAGGGACAAATGAGATTATGAACCATTCGGAAAATAATAGGTTAATTCTATTCTTAATTTTCTTTTAGGAGACTTTTGTTGTTGTTAATTGTGTTATTTTGAATTATATGCCAACTATTGTAAGGTAAATATGGACAACGGAAAGAAATATTGTGGGATCATAGTTTAGTTGATTGTGTAAAATGGGAGGAATACATTTTGTTCAGGTTATCCAATAGATTGAAGGTCTCAACCATTACTTTATTTGAAATATTTACATATTTTCTATATTCAAAAAGCATTTAATCAATGTTCCTCTTTAGCACTTACAAACTTATTTGGAACACTTTAACACATAGAAACAAGTTTCTCAGAAAGAGACAGAGAAAAACAGAGAGACAGAGAATAGCCAGTTTGCTGTACAGATAAAGGCATTAGACTAGAATCCAGGAGACTCTCAATACTGGTCCTCAGACTGGAATCTGGATGGGTAATTCTGGGCCAGTCACTTTCACTTAGCCGTAGACTATGAAATTAAACAAAACAAAACTCCAATCTATATACTAACCAGTACGAGATCAGTGTAGTAGATTATTGGACATAACTTTCAATGTACAGTGGATTCTTGTTTATGTTATTGTTAAATCTATTGACTTAATTAACAACAATGTAAACTATTGCATGAAAATACTGTGTATCCAGTGCCAATTCTCTAGTTACACATATAATGCATGCACCCTTATGCTTCTCTGTCCCCAGTCTTTCATTTCTTCATTTTATTTCTTTGCTTGTTTAGGTATGACCATAATCATCATCATTAGTTCTCAAGTTCGAAGATTATGAGAATCCACAGATCTACACCTGTACATCCTAATTTAAATCTAGATTC